TATGGTAAAAATGCATCAGTATGTGGATCTAAGCATTCACTAAGCATTCATGCTTTACTTGTAGGGACCTCAAATCTGTGTGTGTGTGTGTGTGTGTGTGTGTGTGCGTGTGCGTGAACTAGCATGCACAAGTACTACTGGCCTACTCAGTGGAGACTATATATAGACATCCTCTCTTTCTCTCTCTTCTCCTGTCTCTCTCTCTCTCTCTCTCTCTCTCGTTCTCTCAGTGATAAAGTAATCAGTGTTGTGTGATGAAGGTTGAATGATGTATCTGGGTCACACAGTGATTGGCCTCTTTACTGGAGACTTCAGAAAGCATCTCTCAGCACCTGACAGCTCTGCGTATTCGATACAATATCGGTACCTGAGTCAGCAGCAGTGACAGCTGCTCCATCACAGACCCACGGGGCGTCTCAATTCACCTCCCCGTGCAAATTAACAGCGTTCATCATAAAAAGCAATCACATGAAGCCAAACCATCTATAAATGTAATTATCCAACTGCATTTGAAATGCCCTAATTAAACTTTGTCCTAATGATACTGACTCACAAATGTTTTTTCGTTTAGGTCTGCAATGTAATGATTTATTTGCAACATTAGTTTTGTACTCAACATCTTGCAAGCGTGGTGAAATGACCTTTGTGCAATGATTTTGCAATGTTTTTTCCCATGGAAATCTGTCCAGCGAGAAATACCATTTTAGGCTTTTTATTCAAAGCTGAGCTGTTTCAGAGACTGTATACATGTTCTACAGCACACTTCAAGTGAAATTGATGAACGAACAGGTGTGACATCATTTCAAACAAAATCAGGCAAAAAAAATCAAAAATAAATCAAAACTGGAAACTTTCCAGAAACATTTCCAGTTAAACACTTTCAGACTCCCATTGGTCTGTAGCGATTATTTAATTAGGTGGGTGTGGCTCTGAGGCTCCGCCTTCTATGACGATGCATTGATGCAGATAAAAACATGAACACACTGGACATCTGCTTTATAGTAGAAATTAAAGTTGTAATATTAATTGAAAGCAACACTTGCACTGTTTTTTTTTGTGTTTAATCCTGTTTAAAGCAATCTTATAAGTGCATCCACCTTATTTTGCAATGCAGAAATGGAATGTTCGCAAAGAGAAGCGTTAACGTAAATGGGATGTTCACTATGTTTCAAAATATATACTTTTTTTACCCCTAAGCGAAGAACGAAAAATAATTTTCCATTAGTATATCTGGGTCGTGATATGGAAGGTTGTTTCCACCACGAGATTTTTATTTTTTTTTTCATGCAATTATAAAAAAAAACTTTTGAATTGATGATGTAAACTCAGAATTTCGAGATATAAACTCAGAATTCTTTTTTTTCTCACAATTCCAAATTTACATTTCGCAATTGCAAGTTTAGTCTACATCTCACAATTCTGAATTTATATAGCAATTCTGTTTTTTTTTTTGCTTCTGACACAGAATTAAAAAAAAAAAAAAAAGTTAATTGCGACTTTATATCTCTCAATTCTGACTTTTTCTTGCAATTGTGAGTTTATATCTCACAACTGAGTTTACATCTCACAATTCAGTTTTTATTATTTATTTATTTACTTATTTTTTACCGCCACCTAATAAAAAAAGGTAATTTTAAAGGATTAAAAAGATTTTTGGTCACATTTATGACTTTTTCTCGCAATTGCAAATTTACAACTCACAATTCTGTTTTTTTTTCCGCCATGCATGGAATTAAAAAAACATAATTGCAACTTTTTGTCTCGCAATTCTGAATTTATTTCACAATTCTGAGACCATTGAGAGAAAAGTCAGAATTACAAAAAAAAAAATTAATCAGAATTGGGAGGGGAAAAAAGTCAGAATTACCTTTATTATTTTTTTAACCTGTGGCAGAAACTTCCAAGCTTCCATAACCTCAAACATGCGGAGATGCACCATTTAAAAACTCGTATTCACTCTTAAAAATAAAGGTTACAAAAGCGTGTTTTTGCAGTGATACCATAGAAGAACCATTTTTGGTTCCTTTTGAAGAACATTTAAAAAATCTAAAGAACCTTTTTCGACTATAAAGAACCTTTTCGGCATTTGAAAGGTTCCATGGATGTTCAAAGTTCTTCATAGAAGCGTTGATGCCAATAAAGAACCTTTATTTTTAATAGTGTTGGTCAACAAAGTTTTGTTTCTGGTTTATGCCGCTGTTGTGCTCCCACTGCGACCGTGTCAGTTTTTGGGAAAGCAGTTGCTTTGAC